CCCCAAAACCCCAAAACCCCATCTGGCAAATATCTTAGAACTTATTATCAATGTAAAAATAATACAAATTATTACAGTCTTTATTGAATAATGAACTTATACTCTAAGTATTATTCAAAGTGCTTTAATCATGATCTCTCTAATTTCAAAAAATTTTTCATCTCTTTATAAATCAACGAGTCTGTAGAACTTACCATCCTCACTTGCAACTCTCTTATTTATCAGACTACCATTTTTATTCCAAGACATAAGATGATTATATTTAGCATCAATAATTTTAATAATTTGGCAGTTTCTCAGATTAATCAATGATATCTTCTCCTCGTCTTTCAAAAAAGCAAAAGGGTTAGTTTCATAGTCATATTCTTACACACGAAATATATGGGGGGACTCAGATAATTTAATACTATTTTTATAATATCTCTTTAAAATATCAAATATCTTCAGATAATGACCATTAGAATCTGTATAAGCGATAGTTCTAAAATTAACAAGCATAATTGATGTAATTTATCCTTTTGTAATTAATCTTTGATTATCTTAAATAAATTGGTAATCATAGTCACTCTTCTTAATGAATTTACCAATAGCTATACCAAATTTAGAATCACCAAAAGCAAAAGTATATTCATTTTATTTCTTTGAAATTAAACATAATTCACTTATACTATCAAATGAATCAATATTAAATGCTTGAGTGAATTTTTAATTTAAAATGCTAAATAATTATATCTGACCATTAAATAATCCACACAGAAATTTATCATCATTCAGTTAAACAATTTTACTAACAACAGCATTTGTCCTATACACATTTTTTTAAATTTGCAATTTATTGTTTTCTTTTTATCTCATTATACTAATTTTATCTCCAGATGTAGCAAGTAATTAATTATTTTATTTGTGAAGAATTCCTGCGTTTAAGTTTAATGTTTTAACAAATTTAAAATCTAAATCAATAATCCTACATTCTAAACCATATAAATAATTAGCAGTAATAATCTAATTATTTAATATCGCAAATCTATCAAATAATTTATATTCCTTTCCTTTTTGTTTGTATGATTTTAGAACTTGGCAATCAAATTAATCATTTTATAAATGCTCTTACACATTCATAAATTGATTGTAAACTTGTTTTAAACCCTTAGTCTTAGATTCCATTTTTAAAATAATTACTGAAAATCTCAAAATTTAATTAAAAAAATCTAACTAAAAAGCAATATTTATTATTTCGTATTCTATTAATTTTTACAAAGATGATTAATGGGGTTTTGGGGTTTTGGGG